AAACCACCTACGCCCGAGGGCTGGGGACATTGTGTTCTTACGTACGTCGGTCGTCGTCCTCCTCCTCCTCCACCTTCGCGCCCCATTCCTCCTTCCTCGGTCCTACTCGTCACTCTCCACTCTCTCCCATCCTTCCCACACCCTGCAAGCCAGGAACAGTCACGCCCGCGCAAATGTTGACTCCGTCACCACCCCCCCGTGACTCCTCCTCCCCCTCCTCCTCCTCCTCCTCCTCCTCCTCCTCCTCCTCCTCCTCCTCCTCCTCCTCCTCCTCCTCCTCCTTCCTCCTCCCCCATCCTCGTCCTCGTCCTCCTCCTTGTCCTCCTTCCGCCTCCCCCTCCTCCTCCTCGTCCTCGTCCGCCTCCTTGTCCTCTTCCTTGTCTTCAGCTCCCTACCTGTCCTGCCTCCTGCCCCCCCCGGCGCGCGTCGGCCTCCTGGTCGGAGCCTGCGCGCGGGGTTCCAGCGGCGGCGCAGCCCGGCGGCGCGGGCGCTGCGAACCTCCGCGCGGGTTCGCCGCGGGGTGGAGCCAGGGCGCCCTCGGAGTCTTCCCCGCCCCCTCTCTCGCCCCTCCCTTGTCTCACCCCTGTTCCTGCCCCTGCCCCTCCTCCCTATCATCCCTCCCCTCTCGCACCCCTCCCTTCTTTCGCCCTTCCCATCTATCCCTTCCTGCCCCTGCTCCTGCTCTTCCCCCCTCCCCTCTCTCGCCCTCTCCCTCTCCCCCATCCATGCTCCTTTCCTCCCCACTTCCTCCCTCCCGCCCCCCCCCCCTGCCCTCCCCCTCCTTCTCCACCCTCCCTCCCTCGCCTCCTCCCGCGCCTCCCGCTCCTCCCCCCTCCCCCGCACCCCCTGCCCTCCCGCTCCTCCCCTCCCCTCCCCCTCCCCTCCCCCTCCCGCCAGCAGTTCAGATAAGGAGGTTGGGGCGAGGTCCGAGCCAGGGGATATAGTTCCCCCTCCCGCCAGCAGCCCCAGGTCCAAGGTCCTAGGTCCTAGGTCCTAGCTTCCTGGTCGTAGCTCCTGGTAGCCACTAGTCAGTCACTAGCCGAGTCACTAGCCACTAGTATACAGTCACTCTCACTGCCGTAGTATCCTACACTCTCTTTGCCCATACAGCGCACAAGTAAATATATGTATTGAATGAAGCATCTACCATATGATCATGTGTCGTATGTAACTTCAGAAGACATGCGTATATTTGCATATACATCCCCTCCCCCTCTTACCCCGTTGAGTAGCTTACGCGCCCTCCCGAGGCCTGGTTAGTTAAGCTAGTTAGGGTATCCGTGAGGCTTAAGGCTTAAGAGGTTAAGGCTAACCGGCTACGATTAAGGCTTCAGGCCTTAAAGGCAAGGCGGCAAGGCTTAAGGCTATGGCTAAAGGCTAAAGGCTAAGGATCACGGCTAATGCTGAGCTTATGCTTAAGCTTAAGGGGCTTAAGGGCGTAGAGGGCTCAGGGCTAATTTACGCCGCCTTTCAGACCCGTTGCATTTCAATTCTAGACGCTTTGCGGCCGCATGCCCTGAGCGGGAGCCCGATGAAGGGCATGCCCGGGGGAGTGGCCCGAAGGGGGGGGGGGCAGGATGTCTGGAAGTGGAGAGAAAGACGACGAACGGCGACGACGACGACGACGGCCACATACCCCGAGCGGGAGCCCGACGAAGGGCATACCCGGGGGAGTGGCCCGACTGCGGCGCGCCACGCCACAGGGGCGGGGGGGGGACAGGGCCCTTGCAGGGCCTTTCGTCTAGTCCTCGATGCCCTCCCATTCCGAGGCATAGGGGCGTTTTTTTGTTTCAAAGCGAGGCCCGCAAACATCGCAGCGACTTCCCTGGGGCCGGCGTTCCATCCCGAACCGATTTCTGACGCCCCCCGAAGCCCGGCGGGTGCCTCTGGGCAAAAACCGCCGCCCTGGTTTTGCAGGACGTCGCATATTTGGGGAGGAGGAGGGGGAGGGGGAGGAAGAGGAGGAGGAGCACGAGGAGGCGGAGGAGGAGGATGAGGTTCGTTGTGTTGATTGGTTCATTCAAGAATTAAGTGTGCTTGCTACTAGTTACTAGTGACTAGTGACTAGTGACTAGCTAGTGACTAGTGTATTGTGCATTGTGTATTGTTTATCTAACGTCGCGCGTTGCACGTGTGCACTCGCGCTGCACCACAGGGGCGGGGGGGGGGCAGGGCCCTTGCAGGGCCTTTCGTCTAGAGTCTAGAGTCTAGTCTAGTCTAGTCCTCGATGCCCTCCCATTTCGAGGCATAGGGGTGTTTTTTTGTTTCAAAGCGAGGCCCGCAAACGTCGCTACGACTTCCCTGGGGCCGGCGTTCCATCCCGAGCCGATTTCTGACGCCCCCCGAAGCCCGGCGGGTGCCTCTGGGGAAAAGCCGCCGCCCTGGTTTTGCAGGACGTCGCATATTTGGGGAGGAGGAGGAGGGGGAGGGGGAGGAAGAGGAAGAGGAGCAAGAGGAGGGCGGAGCGAGGAGAGGAGAATAACTCCTCGTCGAGGACGCCTCCTCCTTGCCTCCTCCTCCTCCTCCTCCTCCTCCTCCCCTCCTCCTCCCCTCCTCCCCTCCCCCCCCCCTCTCCTCGCCTCCTCCTCCTCCTCCTCATCCTCCCCGTGCTCCTCTCCTCCTCCTCCTCCTCCTCCTCCTTATTCCTCCTTCTCCTCCTCCTCCCCCTCCTCCTCCTCCTCCCCCTCCTCCCCCTCCTCGTGCTCCTCCTCCTACCTCCTCTCCTCCTCGTCCTTGGGGCCTCTCGGCGGGCGCGGGCGCGGGCGTTTTCGAGGAATTCGGGGCCTCCGGAGGCCCCCCCTTCCCCCTCCCCGCCCCCTTTCCCTCGTCGTCGTCGTCGTCGTCGTCGCCCTCCTCCTCATCTTTTTTCTCGGGGCATTTCCCGCGCGAATGCATGCGTGTGAAAACTATGACCTCGCGGTCGTCCTGCTCGTCCTCTCCTCGTCCTCCTCCTCCTGCATGTGCCGGCAGCGGCGCGACGCAGGCGGCGCCTGGCCAGAACGACGCGCGCCTCGTCTGCCAGCTTCGCGATTCAGGAGGGCGAGGCTCAGGGGTAGCGGGGGGCAATCGATCCACGGTGGAGCCATTTCGAAGGCAACGCGAGCGCCGCGATCCACGCTCTGGCGAGCGTCAACGGCGGGGCCTCGGTCCGAGTTCGCGAGTCCTAGGATGGACCTCCACCCTGGCAGCCTGCTTCCAACTTCCGCGGCGCAGGAGCCCATGAAACCGGGCTCGGGAAGGGCAGGTCGTTCGACGACCTCGATCGGGGTCTTGCCCACCCGCCGCGGGGCGAGTTCCTCGAGCTGGATGGCTCACAGGCAGGACCCGAGCGCCGCCGCGTCGAAAAAGAATAAATAATCCGCATCGAAATGCGGCGGCTCCACCTCGCGTCGCCCAGCGCCTCGACGGCGCCGAGCCTCGACAGCGGCGCGCGCTGCGCGGCCCGCC